CTTGCGGGGATGCATGTGAATTCCATGTGCTTCTGTCTGCTAGTGCGGTTGTTCCTGCTTCCCATGTTCAAGTCGTGTCATTATCCATCATGTTTTATACTGGGTAGAGGAGAGGGGTGTTCTCCAGATAATCTCATGGCTGTTCGCTGCTCCACCCACCCGCTCACTACCTAAGCAAGTGGAAAAACCACCCTTGGGTGTGAGAGCAGAGTGTCAGGGCGGGACGGAGGTGGGGGCCGGAGGGGCTGCCCTGGCTGAAAGTGTGGGCATTGCGGTCCTGGCGGAGCAGTCACGGCCTTCCGGTTTCAGCTCAGCGGGGGTGCATTGCTTCCTGGGAGCCCTCTGATTCAACGTATTTGTGGGAAATACCGAGGGGCCCAGACTGTTTCCTAAGCCACACCAGGATCATCCCAGTAGTGATGGCAGCTTAGTTATTTACTTCTGAAAATTAATGTCATAGAGAAAAATCCATGTCATAAATGTATAGAAAGGGATAAAGACTGAATTGTGACTTCGTCGTCAGCAGATGTTTTTGAACACAGGAAGCTGGCGCACTCACGATTATTCGTTTTGCCAACTACTTATTGATTACCTGTTATGCCTAAGGCTTCTGCTTATTAAGTGCTCACCACCGATGGCCGCAGACACAGCTCAGTAAATCCCACATGAGACCGACTGAAACATGTTAGAGCGAAAGCCACAAGCAGTGTCTTCTGGGAGCAGAAGAGGGCAGGGGACACTGTCTGTCTAGCAGGTTCTTCCTCAAAACTTTGCCCCCTAGAAATGTCTGGGAAAGTTTGGTGAGAGTGAAGGCCTTTCCTGAGGCAGTGAAGGATGCTGGGTAATCGGGTGGTGGGGACACCTTGGTACCAGGAACAGAGGCAGGAGACTAGGGCCTGTTGGCAGAGTTAAGTTCCATGTGGTGCAGCCCTGAGTGGGTGTGGTCGCCTGCAATGTTGCTGCTGAGGGACACCCCCAGCCGAGAGGCACTTCAGCAGGAAAGGACCGGTGTTGTCAAGTACGGGGAGGCGGGGTGCAGTGAGCTTCAGACCCGGTGGCTTGGCTCTGCCATCTCTGCTTTGCAGACTTCTTCCCGCCAGCCCTCTCCCTGTGTTTGCCAAGACGGCGGCCAGCAGCTCCCACCCCCACCTTAGCACCCGCAGTTGAAACTGGGCCTCTGTCTCCCAAGACCCCAGTAGAGTCCCAGGGAACATGTGATGACTTTGCCAGCTTCTGTGCACATCCTCGACCCAGGCACTGAGGTGTGCCCTGAGCGGCCCAGTGGACAGCAATACGCAGGGTGGGGAGAGGTCCTCATGGGAGCCAGAAGGGGTGTGGGAAAGGTGTGCTGGGCAGACACGCTCACAGCAGCAGGAGGAGGCGAGAGGAGGAGTGGGCTGGGTGCCCAGGTGGGTTGAGGGGGAATTTGTTGGAAGGACATGAAGTCTGTTTTGCATGTTGAGTTAGAGGTGCTGCTGGGTCATGCGTGTGGTGACATTTGGCTATTTGGACACAAGAGAGATGGGAAAGACTAGTGTACCAAAGTAAGTGATTGATGGTAGAGAAGGCATGAATAGCTAAGCTCACTGAGGAGGATCAAATATTAGGATGAACCACATAAAATTTCTGCCTTTTTAGGTAAAAAATGGCAGAATATTGTTCATTTCACATGACTCAGCCTATTCTCTGGAAATTCCCATTTAGAAATGACGGTGTTCTCAGCAGCCTTAAGACTGTGGAGAGCCAGTCTTTTCCCCTTTCCTCTCCCCTCCTTTTCCCCTTCTTCTCCCTCTCTCTGTTCACCCTTCTTTCTTCTTCTTTTGGAAAATATTAATTGGGTGTTTTAAAAAAATATATGTTTTTATTGATGTTTTAGAGAGAGGAAGGGAGAGAGAAACATTGAGGTGGAGAGAAACATGAATCGGCCGCCTCCTGCACGCCCCCTACTGGGGATCGAGCCCACAATCTGGGCATGTGCTCTGACTGGGAATCAAACTGGGACCTCTCAGTCCATGGGACGACGCTCAATCCACTGAGCCACACTGGCTGGGCTAGTTGGATGTGTTCTAAGTGCAGAGCATGGGGTTAGAACTGGACCTGCAGCCTTGAACTAGACCTGTCCCTGCCCCCTGGAGTTTAGTCACGAAAGGCCTCTCCACAGTCCCCGTGGTCCCAGACGCTGTCTAGGTGTGACTGACTCCTGTTCGGTCACGTGCTTCTTGAGGACTGTCTGCTGAGGTGTGTGCTGTGCTGTTGGAGTGGCTGAGGTTTCCATCAGGGCTCGGCTGTGCGTCCAAGGCGGGGCCCATGGACTTGCTGAAGGAGCCCCGGCCGGCCTGTGGGCCCAGGATGGGGGAGAAGCAGGGCTCACTTGTGCACATTGCCGAAGCCCACAGGTGCAAGGACAGAAATCAGCACTTACCACTTTGCCCTGCGAAGAGATCTCATTATTTTGAAAAGAAGTTTTATTTTTAAGATGAAAAACATAAAACAAAAATCAGCCCTTCTCTGATGCTGGCTTTCCCTGAATACTAGCAAGCCTGTCCAAGGGCCAGTGGAGAAATAGTCTCCTGAGCTGGATGGAATATTTTTATTCTTCTCAGTGGAAAGAAAATATTTGCCTTGACTTTCTCAGAACCCCGTTCCACTGGGAAGACAGCCGGAGAACCTACTGGTAGGAAGAGGGGCCATGCTCTGTCTGCAGACCTGCTTTTCTGGCAGAGCCTCTGGTTGGAGTGTGAGGTGGCCCCTCTCAGCAGGGAACAACCCCCCCCCCCCTCCCCCAGTGTCACAGCCCAGGGTCCCAAGCTTCCCTGCTGGAGAAGACCTTGGTCTGCCCGATGCTCACTACATTTTTTCTCTGAAGCTAAAACAAGGCAAAAGACAAACTACCTGCTTGGTAGGAAGCGAAGCAAAGCTCCGGAGTGCCTGATGCCACTTGGAGAATTTGTGGTTTCCTTTCCTGTCACTAAACAAAGCAGGCGGTGAGCAGACGCAGCCATTGTTTACAGGATGTTTGCTGTGCCGAGGAAGGAAAGCGCCTGTGGCCCAGTCCTGCTCATTGTGCGAGGGGTGAGCATCCTTCTCGGTACCTGCTGCAGCGGAGGAGCGGACCACAGGATGTCCACGCAGCAGACTGCTGAACCCTGGCACTCTCACAGACTTACTTTGTAAATTAAACTCAAAAGTTTTATAATGTATCAGCATAAAAAAGTAGAAACACAGAAAGACTTTTTAGAGGAAAAAATGTGTTCTAAAACTTTGAAAAAGATGGATGCTTTAGGGGAATTGACTTTTAAAAAAAATTGTACAAGCTCATGCTTTGTTTGCAAGAAATGTTTATCATCTATAGTCTCCCTTGTGGGTCTCCCCAGGTTGATTTTTGGTGTATCTAGTACCATGTCTGGGTTCCTGGTATCCATGGTCCATGGCAGAGGCTGTCTGTCTCCTTTGGGTTTACCAGCAGTTTCTACAGGAGCTGACAACTAGCAGGAGGTCAGGGATGGATGGATGCTTGGTCGGATTGAAGCCATGGCATAAGATGTTCAATAATACATTCTTTTCTCATTATTCCATGTTGGAAAATCTTTTTGATAAATATTTTGGTGTTTTTAAAAAACTGTGGTGAAATGTACATGTATTTTACCATCTTAACCATGTTTAAGGGTATAGGTCAGTGCATTAGCCCATTCACACCATTGTGCAACCGCCACCCACCGTCCATCTCCAGAACCTTGCATCTTGCCAAACAGAAACTCTGTCCCCATGAAACACTAGAAGTGGAAGTGCTGGTTCATAATTCTGTGTTCACTTTTTTGAGAAGCTCGCCACACCGTGCTTTCATTTTTAAGTTCAGAATTGGCTCTATGGTGAAGGAGTGATGTCGGTGAGAAGTGCTTGCCTTTCCCTGTCTGTGCTCTTCAGTTCAGATGCAGCCGAGGGACCACTGTGTCAGTGTTTCTTAAAGACCGAGACATAGAAAAAGGTGGGCTTTCTAAGGCCATGCCAAGGATAGCCTTCTTGGCAGGTGACCCTGTAACTTATCACTGTTGAAAGTGAACTGTTTATACTGTGCTGGGACGATGCGTGTACACTGGGCTGTGTGGGACACTACACGTTGGGTCTGTCTTTTGTCAGGAGCAGAGTGTAGGACTTTGCCAGGGTTAGAGAAGCAGATTGACGTCACTTCATTCACGCTGTGCACTGCTTTTTGTCCACAAGGTGTTAGGTAGGAGTGGGGGCCCCTGCGCACCTTGCTTCTAATTAGTTGGCAGAAATGCTCATAATTGCTCTGTGAAAACATGGTGTGATGAAAAGATTGTATAGTCGGGCCAGGCCCACTTGAGTTTGCACCTGCTCTGTGCCACGTACTGATTCCCTTGTGCACCTGGCCTGTCCTTCGGGGCGCCGGTCTCCTGTGGCGGGAAAGGTGTTTGGAAATGACATATAGGTGTGTAAGTGGTCAGTGCTGTGCCCCTCATGTGGACACCATGGTCACTACAAAGAGCTGGTGCAGATTCAGAGGGGTTCTTGGCAGAATGCACCCCGCGGCACAAGTGCTCAAAGTTGTGGTCTCAGACCCTGGTACTTAAACATTATTGAGGGTCCCAGAGAGATTGGGATTGTGTAGCTTGTCTCTACTGATATATGATATCAGAGTTCACGTGGAAAAGTTAAAAACTATTAATTCACTTAAAGTGGCAATAAGCCCTTTACATTTTATTATAAATAACATGTTTTATGAAAACCACAGTTTCCCGAGAAAGGAAATGAACGCGCAGAGTGGCTTTGCCCTGACCTGTGCGGAGCTCTAGTCTTGGCTGAGGAATTCAACTGGACTCTCAGCCTTTGGTCCCGGGACGTGTTGTCACCCTCCGGAGAGGAGAGGTAGAGTGCCTCAGTGCCCTTGTGAAGGGTCTCGGGAACCCCCACCCCCACTTTGAAAACTGATGGCTATGCGTGTCTTTCTGGAGTCTGACCATCTCTTTCTTCTCTTGTAGGATTGTTCCTGGTTGTGCGCGTGGAACCCACAGTTCTCCCCGAGGTAGGCATCCATACCCAGACGGCACGTTCCGTTCTCCCCGAGGTAGGCATACGTACCCAGACGGCACGTTCCGTTCTCCCCGAGGTAGGCATCCGTACCCAGACGGCACATTCCGTTCTCCCCGAGGGAGGCGTCCGTACCCAGACGGCACGTTCCGTTCTCCCCGAGGGAGGCGTCCGTACCCAGACGGCACGTTCCGTTCTCCCCGAGGGAGGCGTCCGTACCCAGACGGCACGTTCCGTTCTCCCCGAGGGAGGCGTCCGTACCCAGACGGCACGTTCCGTTCTCCCCGAGGGAGGCGTCCGTACCCAGATGGCACGTTGCGTTCTCCCCGAGGGAGGCGTCCGTACCCAGACGGCACGTTCCGTTCTCCCCGAGGTTGGCGTCCGTACCCAGACGGCACGTTCCGTTCTCCCCGAGGGAGGCGTCCGTACCCAGACGGCACGTTCCGTTCTCCCCGAGGTTGGCGTCTGTACCCAGACGGCTCGTTCCTTTCTCCCCGAGGGAGGCGTCCGTACCCAGACGGCTCGTTCCTTTCTCCCCGAGGGAGGCGTCCGTACCCAGTACCCAGACGGCACGTTCCGTTCTAAATTTGGGCTTATGTGTCCCAATAATGTTTTTTTCTGTAAAGATGGTTACTGTTCCCCTTGGCTTCAGGTTTGAATGTTTTGGTTTTTTTCATTCCCCACAGCAAACTTGGTGAACGTTGCTTTAACTGGAATTGCTTAAGTCAGGAGTTTCTGAAGGAGTCTGTAGCAAGTGCCTATGTGTTCTTTAATGTGCTTAAAACACATGATTTTCAAAACCTGGTTTGGACATCTGGTGGAGTGTGAGGTGGTAGGTGGCGGGTGCGCCTGCCTGAGAGAGGCCACTGTGAGTGTGGGGCAGGGGACACATGCCTCTACCCTTCACAGTGCTCACAGCTGTCTAGTAATTACATCCACATGAAACAGATCAACAAGAGAAAATAACCAAATTTAATTACCTGTGTATGTTTGGGAACCCCACATACATTAGAGGTTCCGAGACAGAAAGGGGAAATGATGTATACATGACATTCTGAGTTAAGGCCGAGTCACACTGGGGCTGCAGAGGGGAGGAAGGTCATCACAACAAGAAGAGCAGATGTTCAGTAATTAGCAGTTTGCTCTGCCCTGTAGATAGGTCATGCGCGTTGTTTCTGGAGATACCTTTCTGTCATGGGCAAGGCTCCTAATTTAATTCTTCAAGGCCGTGGAGAGGAGGCAGCAGTTTCCCTTGAGCCTGCAGGGTCTCCGTTGCCTTTGGCTCAGAGTAATCCACATGCCACAGAGGCACAGCTTGGGGTGGCCCGTACTGAACCTAACGGGAGAAAGGCGGTGGGCAGAGTAGGTGGAGGAGTCCAGGGCTTCCTGGATGAGGTTCAGCTGACGCCGCCTGGGGCCAGTGGTGTCCCCTTAAATACTTTCCCCAGACACAGAACAAAGGCAGAGCCTGCAGCTCCCTTATTGAGTGTGCTCACAAATACTGCATTTCCTGTAACAGCAGGAAGTAAGACGGGTTTGTGAAGGAGCTGCCAGGAAATAACCATCCCGTCACATTGGGTCTCTGGCCTTGGATCATCCAAAGCACATTTCCATCCCTCTCTTTCAGTCTGTCTACACACACACTCTGCACCATTGAAGAATGAGTTACATACATCATGGCCCTTCACCTTTTAAGTACTTGAGTGTGTATTTCCTAAAAACATTGGTATTAGTTAACAGTAGTTGAGTGATCAATTTAGGATAGTTTGATATTGCAACTATCAGTTGAACTTTGGCTGGAAATAAATGACAAAGACTTATTCAGGGGTCTTATGATTTGCAAATTAGAAGCATAACTAGGCAATACTCAAGGGTGTTTCGAAGAAGGAAAAAAAGCTAAATGTCCTTAATGTAAAAAGAACATTGTTGAAAAGAATCGGGAATCAGTCTTGCATTCTTACCTCTGGATTGGTCCAAGATGGTCCTCCTCTAGGTGTCCAGGGCTCTGGATAATGGGTGTCAGGCTGTCTGGATATGTGAGCATTCCTTCCTCAGGTCTTCATGTGGACATTCCTTCCTGAGCTCCTTGGACCGTTATCTATAGGGTCTGTGTACATCTGTGCATTGGCACAGGACGGAAAAGTTTAGAAGTTGAGGCCCAGGCTGGTTAAAGCAAGAAAGGATCCTCTCCTCGGGCCTCAGCCCACTTGACGTTAAAAATTCAGCATCTTGGCTCTAGCGACTTCGTTTTACTTCTTTACTCTCTTCTCACAACTGTGTCCTCAGGACACATTCCCAGGAATGGAATTCCTGCGTGAAAGAATGCACACAAGATGTGGGTACTGTTAGATGGCCCTTCAGCTAGGTGCCCTTCTGAGTCCATCAGTGACTCGTGAGTCAGCCTCTAGCCCACCGACTGTGTGTAATCTCAGTATTTTGTTTCTCATTTTATTTGTTTCATTGTTTTAATATTTATGTTCTTTAAAAACATTAATGCTGAAGTTAGGCACCTTTATTGACCACTTGTCTTTTTTTTGCCCACTTATCTTTTGAATTATCACATGTATTGATTTTTAAAAAATTTCTTTATTCTGGAGATTAATCCGCTGGCACATGATACAAACAAGTACTTGTACAAATTCTTAGTGATTGTCTCCTTCCCCCACCGTTTGAGTTGGCTGTGATGTGGACTCTTCAGGAGCGCAGAGCGGAGCAGAACTGTGCCTGGCTGCTTCTCACCAGTCTTTGTCCTGAGCTGAAAATCCATCTCAGATGCAGTCTTAACAGAGTTTCCATTAAACCCAGTGAAAGGGACAGCACAAATCTGTACAACATTTGCTGTTGAAAAGTGTGAACAAAGTTTATTTGCTTTGGTTCTTTTATTTTCTCTTTTGTGAGGACCGTTCTCACATGAGTTTATATGTAAAGAGCACCCTGTTTGAATCTGTGAACTTTGTGACCGGTCAGAAGCGAGGAGGCAGCACGCTGTCCAGTGGCAGGCTTGTTGCATAACCCCGTGTAGCTGATTCACCTGGAGCTCTGATTTCCCGCGGATGACATTGGGACCCACTCAGCTAACCGTCACTCAGACCTAGAGGCATGTTTATCAGAGTATTGGGACACTTGTTCTGAGGGAGAAATCAATTATTATCATTAGGAGATTACTAAGAAAAATTTGGTATCAGTTCCAAGTTCTCGTCCTTACAGAGATGCATAGAATTTTCCAGGATAGCTGGTGTCATTGTGTTGTAGTGGTGTGTTCTTCAGCCTTCCGATTTCTGGTAAGAACTGTTAACTCCTTAGGCTTTTTCTTATCAGAAAGGTGCTGTTTTAAAGCCTGGAACACCTCGTTCCTCCTCTGCTCTCTACCGTCCCCGCCTTTTGGAAGTCAAAGTTCTGGCAGGGGTGCTGGGCGTCCTTTCCATCCTGTCCTGTTTCCTTTTTGGCCAATTTCATAAGGGCCAATGAAATTCTAGTGCTTGAATGGATCTCTAGGGGGCCCTGATTAATGTCCATCTACTTGAAACATTCTCGGACTGATAAATTTCTCATTGTCCTGCACACGTTTCTCTGCTTGGGAACACGGTGGGTGTCGTTTGCTGGCCCACAGCAGCGGGGCGCCGTCTGTAAGGATAGGTCCGAACTGGTGCTCGCTCCTGACCTCTGGTGCATGGACACTGGGACACGCACTTGCCTGTACATAGAAGGTTTAGGTGACCTCACGTCTGTTCTCTGAGGTCATCCTTTGCTGCTTACCCTAATGGGATTTAAAGGTGGGTTAACACGGACCTTTTCTAGACGAGGTTTTAAAGCATTTCATCTGCCATTATCAGGAAGACTTAGGAAGGTTAGCCCCTCAGGCAAATGATCTTAAAATCTGAAGACCTCAGGAAAGGGAGACTGGGTGCTCCTGTCCCGGCATCCTGGAGAGTGATAGCTCAGTAAATAATTACTGAATCATTTCTGTAGGCGGTGTACTCTGTTATATGCCAAGGGAAACAAAATGTTTGAAATGCGGCCCTTTCCTGTCAAGAATCTCTACTCTACTGGGGAAGGAAAAGTATATGCAGATTCGACTGCTATCATCTCAGATACAGGGGTATATTAGTGAGCTGAGATGACTGTGGACCGCTGCACCAGCTGGGATGCATGCTGTAGGCACTTAATGCCCACATCTGAACGTGCGATGGAGGCATTTGGACAGGTGCAGAGAGGGACCATTGGATGGATTTGCATATGGTCCCAGAGGTGTGTGAATGTGGTGAGGTCCCCAAGGGCATAGGGCAGGCTGAGCAACATCCCCTGCTGTAGCCCTGCTCCTCGTGCCCCAGGGACAGGCCAGGGTTCCAGGGCCTCCTCAGTAGGGTCTGGTCTTTAATTTGGTAGATCCTGTTCTCTGGCTTTTCGTGGACTGATTCATGTTGGTCAGATTCAAAAAATCTGCTTTGTACTTGGAATTATTTTTGTTAATTGACAAGAGAATGTACACTTTTCTTGATAAGTAGGAATTTCTTCCTTTTCCTTCATTTTTTCCAATATCTGTTCTTACCTTTGGGTTCTATCTAGTTGAATAAATGACATGTGCTTTAGGTTTGTTATAAGTATTTCTCTCAAAATGTAACTCATCAGCCTGATCACATGGGAGTGACTGTGATTGGTTGGTCTCATTGGCAATATTTTTGCAGGCCGTTTTCTCTTCTCCCTAAGAATTATTATTGTACATTAAGGCAGTGTTATTTGGCCCTGGCTGGTTTGGCTCAGCGGTTAGAGCGTTGGCCTGTGGGCCAGAGAGACCCGGGTTCAGTTCCCGCTAAGGGCATGTACCTCAGTTGCAGTTTATCCCCGGCCCTACTTGGGATCGTGTGGGTGGCAACCAGTCGATGTGTCTCTCTCACATCAATATTTCCCTCTCTCTTTCTCCCTCCTCCCTTCTACTCTATCTGAAGATAAATGCAAAAATGTCCTCAGGCGAGGATTAAAAAAAAAAAAGGCAGC